TTTTTTTCTTTCTTCAATAGGTATCTCCCACTTTTGACTGCGACATTCACATTTCCACAAAGCCTCGGCATTTTGGGCGGAAGACCTGGTGCCTCGACATACATAATCGGAGTGCAAGATGAAAATGCATTCTATTTGGACCCACATGAAGTTCAACAGGTGCGACAATTTATCTCGTAAAAAATTCTCTCGTAAAAGTATCTCAGTATGCTCTTATATCAGCTGGTAGTGCTATTTTCGTGTTTATAACTTTGTGGTTTATAAAAATCACTATGTGTCAATTTATTGTGAATCGGAACTGACCTTATGAAAGTAAATCTAATATCAAGATGTCAAACTTATGGTTAGAGTCAGTGGGGAAATGATATTTTGGGACTTAGGCCCTCAACTATGGGGTTTAGCTCCAAGGCTAAAAAGCAGATAGATTTTCACTTGATCAATACCTGTGGTCATGGGTACAAACTGTATCATTAATTTAGACATGTTTATCATTTGTGCAATACACCACACTTGGTAAAACTTAGTCATGTTTTGCTTACGTATGGTCATGTGACTTGATACTTAATATTATTAGTCCTTGCACTACAGATTTTAGCAAGCTATGCGCAATAGGATATTTGCTGTTTAAAAATATAACTGAGCACCAGATAAAAATATTTCCTCATGCACGTTTCTTTCAAATGGTACTACTATGATTTCATCGTTGTGATCATACTTCTAATAAAAAAATCTTGTGTTGCTGCTATTCTTGTGATGCTTGTAAGAACTCTGACATGGTGATTTTCAGCAGTAATATTAAACTTGTTAAATTGTTTGATTGGCAGGTAGTTGACATTAAGAGAGAGAATCTGGATTTGGATACTTCATCCTACCACTGCAAGTAAGTTAAGATTATTCTCCATTCCCCTGTTATTTTTGTAACAAAACTTGTGTGAGACTACTTTTTCAACGGAAAGTATCTATCTATAGCAGTTAATGTGATAAATTAGATTAAAATATCAAAGTTGACCAACTATTTTAATTTTAATTTTAAAATATTAAACTTGTGTGAGACTACTTTTTCAGTATTTTCTTCACTTATTGGTTTTGTACATGCAGTGTTGTCAGACATATTCCTCTTGATTCTATCGATTCATCTTTGGCAATAGGATTTTATTGCAGGGACAAGAGTATGTATACCTTCATTATTTTTTTTTTTTTTACTTAAGGTTTTACTCCTCTTTTATTTACTTTCTTTAGGTCCTTTCCAACCGGTAAACACATAACAACATATTTTCTCCAACCGATAAGCAAATTCAAATGCAAAATACGTATTTGGTTCTTTTCTCTCTCATCCAAACACAAATTTGCAATATGACTAGTCTGTTATTTTTTTTTATCATTCTGTTCTTTTTGCATTATATGTTTGGCTTTTGTGTCATTTTTCACATGTATCTTTACTTCTTTGTTTGTATATATTTGCATTCTTTTAGTCAACTTTTTTAGTATACATCTTTCTATATTCAATATAATTATATAAATTATTTTTGTATGCTTTATAGTATCATATATATAATTATAAACTTTTTTATATATTTAATTTTTGATGTTTTATACTAGTATTTTATACATATTTTGCATTTTTTTTATGTTATCTAGTTTTTCATTGCTATTACCCTCATAAATAAGATATATAATTACCACAAATTTGGACTGTTTATGCAAGTTTAATATAGTAATCATTAAAAATAGTTATAAAATATACATATAGTAAACATTATAAACAATTGTTAAAAGAAAGAGAACTATCAACATTGGTGAAATAACATAACATGATGTTATGTAACTCAATCAATTTTTTTTTTTTTTTTCCTCATGGAATACAAAATAATTCTAAGGTCAAATTTATAAATTTGTAAAATATGTGGTTAGCATTGCAATGTTGTAGAAGTTGATGAAAAGAGAGAATATTCTTTTGGGTTTGAGATTTTGAGTTTGAGAATGAGTTTTTCGGTTCGAGGTGAATTACTGTTTGATGTGACATTTACTGCAAATAGGAATGGGTTGAGAATGTGTTTTTCGGTTGGAAATGACCAAACCCTCCATTTTTTCGGGAGTATTTCTGTGCGTATGTTTGGCGCATTGTCCTTTATTCAAAGCAACAAGTTCATTCTAAACCTTAGGGGCAATTTTTATGACAGGTGACTTTGATGATTTTTGTGAACGCGCATCAGAACTTATTGATCAATCAAATGGTGCCCCGTTATTTACCATAGCGGAGATCTGCAGCTCCCCCAAGCAAGTCAGTAAGCATGCTGCATTTAGAGACAACGATTCTTCCGAGACTCACGATTATGATAATCGGCTGGTGACTGGTGAATCAGTGGATTGTTCCCAGGAAGATGACGACTGGCAGCTTCTATGAATGGATGATATGAACTGGACACACACACACACGTGTGTGTGTGTGTGTGCGCGCGCATTCTCCTGGATCTGTCTTGTGTGGCTAATTCACTTGACATCTCTTTTTATGTGAGACACATATGTTACTCAGTCATATGTTTGGTTCATGTACAAAGATATATTCCTTTGTAGGTCTTACATTTGTTATCTTGCATCCATTTTTCAGTTGCAATGAATGAAACCAAACATGTCAAAGAGAGTACATTAGATTGTATCCATGGTTGACATAAGCTATTCAAAGTTGGATTGGGTGATGGTCTGTGTGGTTTGTGATTTTGGTGGGATGGCGCCCTTATGTCTTTTTTTCGATAAATCTTTTCTTACTTCAAATGATTGTTATGAAAACTTTTGACCCATCAACTCTCTAGGCTCTATCTGATTGCTTGCATCCTTTGAACTAGAACTATGTCCTATTTATTGCATGAAAAGTCTTGCTTTAAGTTCCTAATCGGGCGTATGTAAATATCATGGTATTGACCGACCAATTCGATCGAATACCGACCTATACATAATTCCGGTTCAGCGAATTTCCACAGGCTCCAAACCTGCAAAGGAGTGTACAAACCGGTCAGGAACCTTTTAAACCAATCTGTGTTTTGGCTTCTATGATTCTTTTTCCTTGACAAAAAGTGCTCAAAGCTGAAAAGTTAAACATACTCCCCAATATAAATAATTTTCAAATCCTTAAAAGGGCATGTTTGTATGCAGAAGTATTCACTTAAAGTGGGGTTTTTTGGTTAACTAGAGTTAATCTGGAAAATGGTGGTATGATTAGTTGTTAATGAGATTATGAATTTATACTAAAGTAATATCTAAAATAAAATAATTAAAATTGATTTGATGTAAAATAGAAGAGAAATTATATGAAGTGATGATTAATTAAAATTATGTGAGTGGATCAAGGAAATAAATAGTTCGCTAAAGTTGTCCCTATTTGAGAAATAGTTTTTTTGGCAGCGTGCCGCTATTTGTATTCATGTGCAATTTAGCCGCTAAATCCCGCTAAATCTCCGCTATAGCTAC